CCGCTGCTGGACGCAGCCTTGGCGCCCAGCCCGCCTCCTGCCCTAATTTTATTATTATTTTTAAAATTTGCTATAGGGTGTGTGTGCTCACCAGAGAGAAATAGAAAGAGAGCAAATGAAAAAACAAACCACCAGGGTTGGGCCTTGATCCACACTTGGCCATATGGGAGCCCAGTACCTTAATCAGCACACAACCAACTGGCCCCATTCTTAGGAGCTTATATCAACCTTGAGTTAAAATTTCCCCCTGAGGTCTAAGATTGAGAAACATGTTTTCACTGGCCCCTCTGGATCTCCAAAGCATTGCCTTATGGTGGGGATATAGCTTACATATCTCCAGAAATTTGCTATTCCACTTCACACAGGAGAAGATTTGGTAGGAGACAAGATTACTAACATGTAATAGGTTTTATCATACTATGCACAGGATCAAACCCCACCACATAGAATGATCTGATCCAGAATTTCAGTGATTATGAGTCTGAGAAACTCTGATTTTTTTTTTTATTTTTTGAGAGTTTTTTTTTGCTATAGGGTACGTGCGCTTGCTGGAAAAAGAGAGAGAGACAGAGAGACAGAAAGTGAGAAATCACCCCCCAGGGGGATGGCCATACCACAGTCCTTTCTCCTCCATTCTCCTCTCAGGATCTTGGGCACACACACACATTCACCTGGAGTGAGTTTAAGCCACTGGGTCCAGGACTCAAACCACTGTCGACTACATGGGAGTCCAGTGACGTAGCCATTACGCCATCTGCTGGTCCCAAGAAACTCTGATTTAAAGAAAGATCTGAAGATATGATAGTAGAGAGTAAGTGTAGATACCAGAGATCATAGGTGGTAATAGGTGACTGGGAGGAGCAAAGGAAAGAAACATCTAACAGACAAAAGAGTGTAAAGTTCTGTGTTAAAAATTGTAATTTTTGCTTTATAAAAATGTAAAAAATTAAAGACTATTTGAAGTTCTATATTTAAATCTGTATCCAAAATTTTTCCCTAAGACTTTGAAACACTTTGAGAAAAAATTAGAGCATGCTCTCTGGCTACCTATTTATATTTAAAAAATATATTTATTATTTAAGTATTTACATTGAATCCCTATAAATTTTTAAAGTGTAGAACATCATAATTCCCATCACGAATATAGTGCATATTATTCACAACAAGATATTACCATCAACAAGTAACTTTTCACTTTTTAAAAAATTGTTTTATTTATATTTATTTATTTATTTTTAATATGCTATAGGACACTTACACTTACCAGAGAAAGACAGACAGAGAAAGTGAGAAAGCAAGCCATTAGGTCTGGCATTCAAACCATAAGTCAGCCATGTGGGAGTCTAGTGCCTTAACCACCATGTTCAGTGCTGGTCCAATAACTTTTCATTTGGGGTCAATTAAATGCATTATTTTTTTCCTTTGTTCCCCTCCCTCCCTACCCCCTCCCTTACTATCTCTAGAATCTACAATTGCCCTCCCTCTTCTTATAAGACATGGAGTCAAGCCAAATGTCCTCTATGGCATACTACTAAGCCATATATAAAAAAATGACCTCCTGACATTTGTTACAAAGATGAAAGACATAATGTTAAGTGAAGCAAGCCAGACTGAAAAACAGAGTTGGTATGGCCCCACTTAATATATACCAATGTCTGTGCTCTATAGGAAAAACTGAAAGATTGGAAGGTATAATTATTCATATTTACAAGTTCCAACCAGATTGGTAGGTGGCATGGTGGTTGAAGAACTGGATTCCCACGTGGCCAACCACGGTTCAAGTCCCAGACCTAGTGGCTTGTTTTCTCACTTTCTCTCTCTCTCTCTCTCTCTCGTGATCACATGTGTCCTATAGCAAAAAATAACAATAAATAAAAATTAAATAAGTAATTCTTTAAAAGAAAATGCCAACAACAACAAAAAAAATTTAAATGTGTCAACCATACTCAATAGGGCAGTTCTTTCAGGGGAAAAAATAAAAATAACAAACAAAACATTCAATAGATATAAAACAAAAACTTATCTGTTAATGATATCTTTTTTTAATACTAGAAAAATTTTATTTTCCATGTGATCGAGTAATATGATTAAGAAATTGTTTATAATTTACTGCTGATCTAAATTAACATTAACAAAATTGTAGTTATAACTCAAACTGACAAACTATTTCTAGAGAAAAACTTTTCTGCTTTATGCTATCATAATTTTTTCTATGGAGTATTAGCAAAGAATGTAAAGTTATATTATGCCACAAATGATTAAAAGCAATGTTTCTGGTTAGTTTGAATAAGATGTACATATATAACTTAGAACAAATATTAGGGTTATTTTCTCTGAAAAGTCAGCTTGCAAATGAAAAGAAGAAACCCAAATCCACACACTGAAATAGCTGTCCTCTTCAAAATTCTACTGTTCCATGTAGATACTTCTTCCATTAAAGGTATATGAGTTGGATCATCTTCCCGTTCACTTTGCAACTTTTGAATTAAGTCCTTTAGTTTGCAGACCTCTTCACTCAAATCTTCAACATTACTAACGAGTTCTTCACAAACTGAATTAAAATTTCGGGAAGCAGCCCATTCTGGTACTATCTTGTGAGAATTTACAGGTAACTCAGCAATGATATTCTGTACAGCTGTTATTAAGTGGCCACACTGTTTAATTTTAAAAGAAAGTTGAGGAACTCATCACCACTGATTTCTAACTTTGCCACTTCAGGTAATTCTCCAAATTTTATCTCTTCTACCTCTAGTTCTTTAAGAGCAGCCAGAATTTTCTGCTGATCTTTACTACTAATTCCATTCTTTATAAACTCATCTTTCCTCATGGTCAACAGGTGTCTTAAAGTTATATCCCTTTCCTTTAATACATCTGTCATATGTTCAAGTCCAAGACCATGTAAAAATATTTCCAGATCTCCAAATGCTGTGTATGAACTAAATATGTTATCTTTATCTTTATCAGAATCTGTTGTCAGTAGTTTACAAATAGTCTCTTCTTTAGTTAGCTGTTGAAGCTTTCCTTCTACTGGATTTAAAGTCAAAGAAAGCAAGTTGAAGATCTCAAGATGTTTATTTCTTTTTGCAATCTCACTTGGTGTCTTTCCATCTTTGGTTTGTAGCATTTTATTAGCTCCAAGTTCCAGCAACTTCAAAACTACATTTTTATGACCTTGACGTGATGCCCATGTTAAAGCAGTATAGCCATTCTCATCCTGGGTGTTAATTTCCGCTCCATGAGCAACAAGGAGAGCCACAACCTGAGGGTGGCCATCTCGTGCAGCATACATGATTGGAGTCATAAGTCTCCTACAAGGGACATTTGGGTCAGCATTTCTTGAAAGTAGTAGCTCTACACACTTCAAAATCTGTTCTGAGCCACGAGCAGAGCACGCAGTTATCAAAATAGTTTGCTTATCCTTATCAAAGCTTGCATTAGCACCTTTGTCCAAAAGGACTCGAACAAGTTCTACATTGGCAACGCTAGCAGTATACATAAGGGGAGTCCATCCACATCGAAAGCTGGAATCTCCCCCCCCCCCGCCAATGATTAGATTTTTTGACAGGACTAACAGGCATTATATTCACGCTCGGAAAAAAACCATGTTGAACACTGTAAAGATGTTCAGTGATTAAATGTCAATTTAAAAACAATTTTTAAATAAAATAAATTGTTAAAATATTCTTTCCAGGCTGATGATTTTGAAAATTATTCCTTGGGCCCACCAGATGGTATAACTGTTACATTACTGTACTCCCACATAGCCACCCGTTCAAGTCCCAGACTCGGTGGCTTAAACTTCACTCCAGGTGCATGTGCATGTGTGCCCAAAATTCCAAAAGAGAATGGAGAAGGGATTGTGGCATGACCTTCCCCCTGGGGGGTGATTTCTTGTTTTCTGTCTCTCTGTCTCTCTGGTGAGCACACACTCTCTATAGCAAAAATCTCTCTCAAAACATAAATATTTCTTATTTTTTAAAAAACCATTACTCAGAGCAAATACTAGTAAATGAGAAGACCTCAAAAAAAGTTTACAAAAAGGAAAAGAATTAAAGCATGTGTTTATTTGAGAGCAAACAAATTTTGAAATCCAGACAGTTTTTTTTTCATAATAAACATTTTTCTGTGAAGTTTCTGAGGAACCCTTATATCTGATAACCATTTCGATTTATCTTTATTACATGTCAATGTTATTACAGTTATTAGCATTTTAAAATATATTTGCAGATTTTTGTTTCTCTATTGCCTTTAGTGAAGATATTTTGTTAATAAGATTTTAAAAATGGTATATAGTTTAGTATATGTCATCTTTTTTAAAAAAGGTTTTTGCCTTAGAGCACATACACTCACTGGGAGAGAGAGAGACAGAGAGAGGCAGAGAGATAGGAAGCGAGAAATCACTCCCCAGA